TATAAGTCTATATACGTATATATGTATGCGGATACATATATCTGTACATCCAGACGTATTGGTATCTGTGTCGTTATGGACATAGCCACTATACCTCGACGCGAACGTTTGCCAGAACTTACCCACAGAGCAGTCTGCCGCAAATTACAAATACATACATATATATATGTATATATATATATATATATATATATATGTATGCATGTATATGTATGTCTATGCGGCATATGTGTATATATATGTGTATATGCAGACAGACCAATATTATTGTGTCATCGTAGCCGTAGCCTGTGCCTTAAAACGCACGTTTGCCGGGATGTGCGAGAGTAGTCTTTAAAAAACTCATCTTCGTCTGAAGTTACGATGATCGAAGCGAAAGAGTGCATTTAGTTAGAAGAGGACAGAAAGGCTACACATTCACGTGAGAAGCTCGTTATCTATCAGTAAAATACGTCCGGAAGTGGTGTATGTATCAGTGGAATACCACCAGCCCCCTACGCAGCGTGTTCATTGTGCATGTCCATATGCCGCAGCTTGGTTCTTATTTTCTCGATTGTTGAAGAGCCATCCTGTGTCTAGGTCTGCCTACATTTTTTTTCTTGGAAACGAAAGAAGATGTAAGCCGTTTTACCGCCTATGAGGATTCTTTTTCAGACTTTTTCTTGCCTTCCCGGCCTAACGTCGTTCTTCGAGAAAAAGACTTAGTCTTCGAGTAGATGTGTAGATTCCCTCCACATTGTTCTAGCCTTCCGCCTACGTCATCTGTTGTGCGGAGAAGACGGATAGATACAGAGATGCTTCCGAATGCTCAGCTAGCTGTCTCCGCCTCTACACGATCTTTTGTGAAGAGAACTCATTCCAAACAGATAGGTGAATTCTCTCGAGCGCTCAGGCTTCCTCGCCTATGTCATATTTTCTCGAAGCAGACAGTAGATACAGAGATTCTTTCGCATATCTATTTTCTCCCGCCGTACATCTTCCTTTGTGGTGATCTCTCATTTCACACAGATACGGAGACTCTTTTGAATGGTCAGGCTTCTCCGCCTACGTCATCTCTATTGAAGCAAACAGCAGATACAGAGTTTCTTCCGTGTATTTATCTTTTCCCGCCTGCATCATCTTTGTGGAGATCTCTCATCTCAGACAGATACGTGGACTCTCTGAAATTTTCAGGCTTCTCCGCCCAGGTCATCTTTCTTGACGGGACCAGGTGATACAGGGACGCCTGCAATGGCTTAGCTTCTCCGCCTACATCATCCGTCGTGGAGATATCTCACTTCAGACAGATACGTGGATTCTTTGAATTCTCCAAGCTTCTTCGCCTTTGTCATCTTTGTTGAAGCAAACAGTAGATACAGAGATTCTCTCCTATGGTTATCTTTTTCCGCATACATCATCTTTCGTGGGGATCGTTTTCAAGCAGACAGAAACGTTCTTTGGAATGCTGAGGCTTCGCCTACGCCGTCGGTACTGAAGAGCAAACGGGCTTTGAGTAGATAAGTGCCTCCTCCTATCTTCTTAGGTTTTTCCGCCTGAGTCGTCTGTTTGAAAGAATGTTCATTTTCAGTAGATAAAGGGCCTACTCGTATTCTCTCTGCCATCTCCGCTTGGGTCGTCTTGCTGAAGAGTACATACTACTGGTAGATAATGTAACTCCTCCTACATTCTTGGTCTTTCTCGCCTAGATCGTCTTTCCTGAAGAAAACAATTTTTTTCTCAGTGGATACGGGTATTTCTAATCCTCTCCGTTCGTATACATATGTACGTATGTATATTCATATATGTGCATATGTATATCTATATATATACGTATATTTACATATATATATATATATATATTATATCTCTTTACGTATATATATATATATATGTATATATACTTATATATTTATCTAGCACGTCGGGACAGCTTCTTAGCGTTTCCCGCCTGGAGTACCCGTCACAAAGAAAACTCCTTTGACGTATAATGATCCCTTCATTTCTTCTGTGAGAGTAAAATTCCTCCACGTCTTATTGTTCTTTTTCGCCTACATTATCTTTCCTCGAAGCTATTGCGTTTTCAGCAAATAGGGGAATTCTGTGCACATCTGCTTTACCGGGGAACATCTCGTAAGCGTTTGGTGGATCGTTCGTTCTGTCTCGTGAGTCCCGGCAGAAGTGTGCTTCAAGGCGGGAGCTCCCCCTACTCACCCATACAGTCTCAGCATACTTACGGCGCACTGATAATGCTAGAAATTATAAATATGCATATATATATATATATATACGTATATTAATATACACATATGTTTATATGCACAACTGATGCGGGTCATCTCACCTGCGTTTTGCCTGTTCTTGCGAGACAGAGTTCGTCATCAGCTCACAGCGAAGGCAGACCACACGTACGTATATGCATACATATATGTGTGCTGGAGTGCCAGCCCTCCGTTAAAGCTCAAAGGTCCACATATATATATATATATATGTATATGTACGTATACACATATATGTATATTTGTGTCTGTTGTTGAGACTCTTGGCGCTACAGAGGTATCAATATATATGAGCAACTCAGCATGTGTAGCATGTGAGGAAGGGAATGGAAGTATATCGCTGTCGACTTTGCTGTTGCAGGTAGTACTGCTGCTGCTGCAGCACCATGTGGGAGGAAACGATCGGTCCGCTTCTTCTATCTGCTGCGCGCAGCGTCGACGTTTCTGTTGTTTGGGGAAGAAATCTTTGTCGCTGCCAGCGGTGCTATTGAAATTTCTACATATACATAATATGCATATGTCTATATATATGTACATCATACATATATATATATATATACATACATATGTGTATATATACGCATATATGTCTTTTGCGCACACATAAATACCTGTATGTATGTGTTCTGCAGCGTGTCGCGCCTACTAGTCAGCTGTCAGTTCCGCAGCAACATTGGTGCTTCTTTTCGGCTGCCGTATACCGCACGCCCAACCTGCTGCTGTGGCGGAAAGAGCAAAAAGGATAACAACAAAGGATAAGTAGAGAATTCCTCTTCTTTATTGCTGGTGGTACTCCTGCCTGCTGCTGAAGAGCGAGTCAACATACTACCCTGAAGTATGGTAGTTCTTGGACCGTATTCCCCTCTATTCTTTCGTGTCTGTTGAGGAAATGTTGAGCTCCGTGCTAGACGCCTTTGTTGACGATAATGAGGAGGAGGAGGAGGAGGTATTAGCCACGCCGAGTGCCTGCTCGGTCATCTCCGCTGTCTGCATCCACAGCTGCAGCAGCGGGTGCTGCTGCTCCTGTTGCAGCAGGAGCTGCTGGTGCTGCTGCCGTAGACGCGCCCTCCTCCCGCTGCTGCTGCTGCTGCTGCTACATCGGGGCATGAAGCACCTGCTTCTTCGACTATAGGAACCTTGTCCCGCTTTGCTTCTCCCCCACGAAGAAGACAAATCCGATCTGCTGCGTCTGCAGATGTGCTGCCCTGCGATAGTCGGTGCTGCTGTTGATTCCTCCACTTTTTCTTCTTCTTCGTCAGCAGCAGCAGCAGCAGGAGGTAGCAGCAATAGAGAGCAGCGACCGTCCGCCCATTCTTTGTTCTCTTTCCCACTTCCTCGTGCCCAAGGAAATGGCGTAAGGCCTGGCAGCATCAGCCGCTCATCTCTCGGCAATGCTGCTGCTACAAGTGAAGGCAGCAGCAGCAGCAGCTGCAGCAGCAGCAGCAGCGGGGCCAGCAGCAGCAGCAGCTGCAACAGAAGCAGCGGGGACAAGCAGCAGTGCTGGCCACAGCAGTCTGACTGGTAGTAGTAATGGCAGCAGCACTCTGAGCAGTGGTAGTAGTAGTAGTGGTAGCAGTAGTAAGTGGTTTTTGCTAGCAGCAGCAAGTGGAGAGTGAAGACTGAGAAAGAGGAGATTGGGGAGACTTCTTCTTCTTCTTCTTCGTCTTCTTCGTCTGCGTCCTCAGATATAACGAATGGTTATAGCAAGAACGGGACAGTGTTAGGTAGTGGACAGGAGATGGTCTCATCTAGGCACAGAGGGGATGATGCAGCAGCTAATTGCGAAGGAACAGCAACCAGCAGCAGCAGCAGGAGAATTTGAAGAAGCAGAAGAAGGTGTTAGTAGATATGGGGCCGCTATAGGGCCTGATGGCGTACCGTTGCTCAAGTACGAGAGAGGGGTCTTCCACATAGCCGAGGAAGCACCTATGAAGCAGCTTAGAATGAAGCGGGGAGCACCTGCGTACAACAGAAGCAGCAGCAGCAGCAGGAGAAGTAGGAGGTATGAAGGACGTAACAACAGTTGCCTATGAGCATAACTGTCAGAGAACAAGGGGAAAGAATCTGCTGAGTATGCTGCCGAAACCGCGGCAGCAAGAGGGCGCAGCCAGATTTCGCTCCTGTTGTTAACAGGTTGCAGCTGCGTACTTCAAGCAGCAGCAACAGCAGCAGCAGCACCAGCGGCAGCAGCACCGACGGCAGCAGCAGCAACAGCAGCAGCAGCAGCAGCGACAGCAGCAGCAGCGGCGTCAGCAGCAGCAGCAGCAGCAGCAGCGTCCAGCCGCAACGCTGAACAAGAAGGTTTTGCAGCAAGCAGTTGGCGATAGCAGCATAGATGTGGGTGGGGGTAGAGGGAGGGAGGACAGCCGACCTGGTGACAGCAGCAGCAGCGGCAGCAGCGGGAACAGAGACGATACAGAAAGCAGCAGCAGCAGGCATGAAGGCAGTACTAGCAGCAGCAGCAGCGCAGGTGATAGGGGCAGTAATGGAGATAGAGGAGAGACGAGGTGCAGAGACAGAGACAGAGGAAGGTGGGGTTCTATCTTCTTTGTTTTCCGCGTATGACGATGAAGCAGAGGAGGTGCCCACCGGTGCTGCCCTGCTGCTGCTGCTGGTAGGACAAAAGAGGAAAAGCGACCTACTCGCTCTTCATCAGCCGAAGAGCGAAAGCAGCAGCCAGCAGCAAACGAAAATGTTAGAGTAAAAGCAGAGGTAGCAGGTCCGGCCGATGCAGGCAGTGCCTCTCGAGCAGCAGATGATAAAAGAAAAGAAGAAATGAAGCAAGCGACCAAGCCAAGAGACCAAGCAAGAGACGAAACTCCACCTTTTAGGCATCTCCTTTTCTGATGTGAAGGAGGAAGGAGCAGGCTCGGATAGCAAAGACAGCAGAAGCAGCAGTAGTGGTGCTGCTGCTGCTGTAGGGCTGCAGCAGCTAATGCCGCTAAGCGGCAGAGGTGCCGAAGAGGCATATGCAGCCACTGCTGCTGGATCTTTCGGAGGTGAAGAATCTGTCACTGAGCCCTATGTAGATGTGTGGGGTGATAGTCAACTTGGAGAAGCAGCAGCGGCAGCAGACGGATATGCAGTCACCGGTGAATACCCGGACTACAGCGCAGCGGCAGCAGCAGGCCAAGTGCCAGGCAAAACCGACCAGCACGGGAGAGTCGAAGGGATGTCCGTCAACGAGGTAAGTCGTGCCTCATGCCTGGAGTGGAAACGCTGCTGCCATTGAGTGCGAGGAGGCGTATAGATATAGGTGTAGACACACGTATATCTATATATACATATATATATACATATATATATATATGTGCAAATGTCTATTCAAGGCATGTTCGTCAACGAGGGTAAGTCGTGCCTCATGCCTGGAGTGGAAACGCTGCTGCCATTGAGTGCGAGGAGGCGTATAGATATAGATATAGACACACGTATATATATATATATATATACATATATATATATATACATATATATATGTGCAGATGTCTATTGAGGGCATGTCCGTCAACGAGGTAGGCTGTGTCTCATGCCTGGAGTGAAACGCCGCTGCCACTAAGTGGGAGGAAGGTTTATAGATATAGATATAGACATGTGTATATATATAGATAGATATAGACATATGTATACATATATAGATATAGACATATGTATGTATATTATAGATATACATATATATATATATATATATATATATATACAAATGTTTATTAAATGCATGCTCGTGAACGAGGTATGTCGTGTCTCATACGCTGCTGCCATTAAGTGGGAGGAGGCGTATACATAAGAGATATAGACATACGTATGTTTATACATGTAGATATATATATATATATGTATACAAACGTTTATTGAAAGCATGTCCGTCCACGAGGTAAGTTGTGTCTCATGCCGAGAATGATACGCTGCTGCCCATTAACTGGGAGGAGGCGTATACATTGAGATATAGATATATGTATATATATATATTATATATATATAGATACATATATATACATATATATATATATATACAAACGTTCATTGAAGGCATGTCCGTCAACGAGGTAAGTTGTGTCTCATGCCGAGAGTGAAACTCTGCTGCCATTAAGCGGGAGGAGGCGTATAGATATAGATATAGATGTATGTATGTACATATATATATGTATATATATGTGAAAATGTTTGATGAAGGGCATGTCTGGTCAACGGGGTAAGTACTGTCTCACGCTGGGGTAAAACGCTGCTGCGGCTAACTGGCAGGGGCGTACCGCACGCACGTCGGGTGTGATGAACCTCTTTGTCTTTCGTTCTCCCTTTATGTGCATACACATATGTATACATCTGTATATATATATATATATATATATAGACATATGTATACGTGCATGTGTTCATCGGAGACATATCGGTCGATGACGTAAGAAGTGTCTCATGCCAGGGTCGAAATGCTGCTGTAGCCGCCCGGGAGAAGGTGCGCGACACGCACACTCGCCGTCGTGTGTGATGAATGTGTTTCCATCTATCTCTCTCTCACTACATATATATATATATATATATATATATATATACAAATATACATATATATATATATAGCTAGGTAAATAGATGCAGGTATAGATATAGATACAGGTATATGTAAATATATATATATATATATATTTGTACCGTATTTACTGAAGGCTTCTCGGTCAGTGAGGTACGCTGTCTCATGCGGGGGACCGAACTGCTGCTGTGGCTGACCGGGATGAGGCGTATCACACACATACACATCGTATGTGATGGATCTGTCACTATATAATATATCTACAAACATGTATGTGCGAATAAATATACATGTGTATAAATGTATGTGCATATGTATTCATCATGTATATACGTGCACACACGTGCGCATGCAAATATATAAATGAACCAAGCTAATAAAGGGAAGGTCAAGGTGCGTCAACTTGTAGACACGTACCCACGTGTATGGATATTTGACTCTGTGTGCAGTTCTAGTAAGGGGCATATCTCTCTCTCTCTCTCTCTCTCTCTCTCTCTTCTCTATATATATATATATATATATATACATATATGTATATACATATATATATATATACATATATATATACCGTATAAATAGATATATATATATATAGATATATGTATGTGGCTATCTGTGAGGGAGACAAAATTACTACGACCTTTGCCGACTGTGTGTCTGTGGCTATATACTGGGGAGCAGGAACATCTACAACAGGCCAAGTGTTTGAATGTGGCTACATATTGGGAGAAAGAATCTGTATTACGTACGCCGAGTAGTAGCAGGTGCTGTCCGAGGCATGTAGACACTGCTGCTGAACATTGTATCGCTGTTGTTGCTGCTGTGTTGTGTGTTGCTGCTGCTGTTGCTGCTATTGCTGCTGTGCTGTGTACGGCTGCTGCTGCTGCTGCTATTGCTGCTGTGCTGTGTATGGCTGCTGCTGCTTCTGCTGTTGGTGTCGCAGTATCGCGAGTTGCAGAACGCCAGAGTGAAAGTTGTCTCCGGCGACTCTCTGCGAGGACCCCCGACTGGTAAGGAGGCCTACCATACGCACGTATATATACATATATGCATATATGCATGTATCCCTGTATGTGTATAGGCACGTATTTAATGCAGTGATAGTAATTTTTTCCATTATAGGCGGGTCTACGGCACGTCATACACTTGGCGAATGCAGTTGCCGACTGTTTGTATGTGGCTCTATACTATGGAAAATGAACGTCTACAACAGGCCAAGTGTTTATGTGTGGCTACATATTGGGAGAATGAATTTGTACTACGTACGCCAAGTAGTAGCAGGTGCTCTACGAGCATCTACGATAGTTGTCCTCTCCTTGGTAGACGCCTCTTTGGTACTTCACACAGATAGTGAATGCAGTAATGCGTAGGGCGCGTCTACAATACGTAATAGGGCCTAGTGACTGCGGTGATGCATAGGCGCGCCTTCTAATATGCCACACAACTGATTAATGCAGTGATGCCTAGGCGCGGTCTGCCGTACCCCGTATGTGTGGGAAATGCAGAAAGGTTTTTCTTTCTCGCGTAGGCGCGTCTGCGGTAGGTCATCCCGCGTCTGTGGTAGGTCATCCCGCGTCTGTGGTACCTCCTATTTGTGCGGAACGCAGAATCTTTCTTCTTTGTCGCATAGGCGCGTCTGTGGTACATCATCCTCAAGGCAGATGCAGTGATAGTTGGCCGTTCTCGCATAGGCGCCTCTAGAACACTTTATACACCTAGTGAATGCAGTGATCCACAGGCGCTTCTATAATAATACGTCGTACACTTAGTAGATGCAGTGGTGAATTTGTCTTTCTCGCAGAAGCGCCTATACGTTCCGTCGTACACGTAGTGAATGCGGTGACGCTTGTCCTATCTCGCGTGGGCGCTTCTACAACACTTCATACACGTAGTGAATGCAGTGATGCCACAGGCGCTTTTATTATAATACGTCGCACACGTAGTAAATGCAGTAGTGATCTGTCTTTCTTGCATAGGCGCCTCTACGTTCCGTCGTACACGCATGTGTTGACTTGTCTTTTTCGCATAGGCGCCTCTACGTTCCGTCGTACACGTAGTGAATGCGGTGATGCTTGTCCTATGGCGCATAGGCGCGTGTGTGGCACGTCTTACACGTCGTGGCGGCAGCGGCGGTCTTACTTTCGCACGGGCGCGTCTGTGGTACGTCCCTACATGTAGTGACCGCAGTGATGATTGTACGTTCACGCATAGGCGCCTCTGTGGTACGTTACATACGTAGAGAACGCGGTGGTGATTGATCTTTCACACATACATGTGGGTGAAAGGTCAATCACCACCGCGTTCTCGGTATGCTAAAGAGCGGTGGTGATTGCTCTTTCACGCGTACACGCGTTTATGCTACGGCTGCTTTACCCGCCAGGCCTCTGTGTGTGGAGCAATAATATCTACTATATGGACGCGAGGGCTGTGGAGAGCACAAATCATCAGCACCAGCAGCAGCTGCGGCCACAGCACTGACAAAATGGTAGCTCTTGTGCTGTAGAGAATTTCTTACAATATGTCTATATGCTGATTTCATGTAGTAACGTGCGCGTCAGATGCTACCGAATTGCAGCTGTGCTAGCGGCTCCCAGTGCTTCCTTGTACAACAGATGTGTGTACACGCCTGTATAAAAAGCGAAGCTGTACTAATTCTATGTAGTAGCAGTTTATGTAGCAACATGTACATGAGGTATACGTGACGTATAGCCATGCTAGCAGCAATCAGCTGTTGCCTCGTGCGACACGATATCTCCGTATGTCTGTATCCAAAGCGAAGCTGTCCTAGTACTATCTGGCGACGCGTACGAGGGAAAAAAGGCAGCCCTTAGCTAAGCTGGCTGCTGTCGAATGTCTCCTCGTTCGACACGATATGTATATGTGTGTGTATGTGAAGTAGGTCTGTCCTAGCTTTGTCGAGTGACGTGTAGGTAAGGTCTAAGCGACCTGTAGCCATGCTAACAGCTGCGAGGGGTTTCAGCCTACGACAAGTCCGTATGCCGACGCAAAGCGTCCTGATTCTTTTTCCTTACGTGTACGTTAGGTATCTGCAGCCCATAGGCAAGCTAATCTCTCTCAGGCCTTTCCGCGTACGGCTGGATATGTAGAGGGTGTGCCCGTATAACTTTGCGAAACGTACTAAAGGTATCAAGTAACGCAGACATGGTATATAAGTCACTTATAGCCACAATAGGGATCTCTCAAGTGTTTTGCGTAAGGCAGGATCTGTGTATGTTGTGACTGTGTAGCGTTCCCTGCCAAGGTAGCGGCTCCTTAGGTGTTTCTGCGTACGGGAGAATTCTTGTATCGTGCGTCTGTATGGTTATGCGCACTGCCTCAATTATATCTAGCCACGCGGGGGGGCGGGCGTAAGCTGCTCAAGCTACACTAGAGAACCCTTAAGCGTTCGCCTGAGGCACGATACGTGTACGTTGTGAGTGTAGCTTGTTCTGCCGTGCTAGCGGCTTTTCGATATCACCGCGTACGAGAGGATTCGTATACGGTGTGTCTGCATAGTATGACAAACTGTGCTAAATATATTTAGCGCCACGGCCCGCAGGGGTAAGCTACGTGTAGGTACACTAGCGAGCTCTTAAGCATCTCCCGTGAGGCACGGAAGGTGTGCGCTGTATCCGTGTGGCTTTTCTGCCATGCTAGTGGCTCTTAGGTGTTACCGCGTACGACACGATTTGTGTATGCTATGTCTGTATAATATTCTAGACTGTACCAATTATATCTAGCCCCCGCGGCCGGAAGTATAGGTACTTGTAGATACACTAGAGAACTCTCAAGCGTATCCCTTGAAACACGATACGTCTTCGTCGTAAGTGTAGCTTATGCTGCCGTGCTAGTGGCTCTTAGGTGCTACCGCATACGAGAAGATTTGTTTATGGTACGTCTGTGTAGTATTACGAACTATACTAATTATGTGTAGCGTCGCGACCGGGAGGCATAAGCTCTTTGTAGATATCACTAGAGAGCTCTCGAGCGTCCTCCGCAAGGAAAGATATGTGTACATCGTACCCGCGTAGCCCTCTCTAGACGTTTTTTGTGGCCACCTGTTGATGTGCAAGCGAATATGTGCGGGTGGATTGAAGCATCACGCTGATCGCTTGTCGGCGTCTGTACAAGTTACTTGTAGAGATACTAGAGTACTCACGAGCGGCTCCCGTAAGGCAGGATATGTGTACGTCGTAAACCGCGTAGCCCTTCTCTGCAAGTTTCTGTGGCCGCCTGTTTACGTGCAAGCGACTACGTACAGGTGGACTGAAGCATCACACTGACCACATGTAGGCGACTGTACACACCATCACGCGTCTTTGTCTGCGCAGAGGGCAGCCACCGCGCAGCACCTCTGCAGTATATGCGTTTGGTGGTCCCAATGCATGGTGCATATTTTTCAGAAAAGTCTCGAAGCACGCCAGGAAGGAAATAGCGTAATACTCATGCTGTCGGAGGGACGGAACATTTGACGTAGACCTTGGCAGCGTGGAAGGACATGAATGTGAGAAAAACCAGGATAATGCTTAAAAGAAGTAGAACGTCTTGATCCCGAGTAGAATGGCGAGATGAGGTTTGCGCCTAAGAAGAGCAGACTGCCTGATGCCGGATAGTACGGCAAGCTGACGCCTTGAGCTTTCACCCGGAGGATCGCTTGCTACGAATGTACAGCGTTTTAATGCCGCGTAGTCTGGGATGTTGACGGCTTGAGCTTCTCACCGTGAGGAAAGTACAACCGAGCCGAACGCTCAACGTGTATATATATATATATATATATATATATATATATATATATGTAGTATATATATATATATATATATACGTTACACGATCTGTGACATGGAGAAAACGCGTGGAAAATGTGGATTTGTCTGCATGCCGGAAAGTGTGGCCGGCTGACAGCGTCAGCGTTTCATAATGCGGAAAAGGCACTGGAAAAGTAGGGCGTCTTGAAGCCGCATAGTAGCACGGCGAGCTGATGGCTCAGGCTTTTCACCATGAGCACGCGCTGCCGCGCCCGCAGGGGTAACCCGCTGCGGCCGTATAAGTGGTGCTAGCGTTGTCGGTAAGAGAGCTGCAGCAGGTATTGCTCGCGGCTTCCGGGGCAGGGGGGCTTCGTATGAGCGTAAGGTCACATATACGTGTGACGCATGTATATCTATTGATGCTGCAGAACGGCTTCATATGAGCGTAGGATCACCACATACATGTGACGCATTTATATCTATTGATGCTACAGAACGGGGTTGGGTGACGGGATCAGTGTCTAAGGAGGCTAGAGGTATTATTTGTAGTTTCGCATACGCGGTTAAAACAACACCAAAATGGCCCTGAACACGAGGACACACATGAAGATCCGTGTGGGTGCGGCTGCATGGCCATGTGTACTTCCGTAGCAGCCTGACCATCGCACGTAAAGACACGTCTCGGTGCATTACAAGAACAGGTAATGGGAACCTTTATTTCTGTGTGGGAAGGCCGCCCCAAGCTGTTCGGCGTTATGCAAGCGAAGTCGTAAGAGGAAATGCTACCCGGACTGGTACAGCTGTATAGACACGTGATCACGTAATGAGGCACCTCGAGGTGTGTCAGACTGTGGGTGGTCCTGGCTGCTGGGGTGTGCGTGTTTGTGTTGGACAGGCAGTTGAACTACCAGTTAAACGCCACACCGGCGCCACGCAAAGAAAACGAAGCTAAATATTGCCACGAATGTGTGGAGCGTGAAGGATAGAGGGGTCGTGCAAACTGTGGAGCCTCGCGCCATGCAAAAGCGGAAACATCAGGTAGGGACGCAGACCGCAAGTAGGTGAATTACGCACGGGCGGGGGCCCTTGTCTATTATTCATGTCGACCTATTGTGCGCGCGGGGGGTGCGGGGGCGCCTCTTCCCCAATGGTTGTCTGTTGGTGGCAGCGTGATCCGTAGGTAGGGTTGTGCCCCCCCGACTGCGTTTGCAGGATTACGGTAAGGCGTGCCTCAGTTCACATTGACATGCATACTTGAGCTGTACAATAGGGCTGCGCTTAGCCCCCACCACACGCGAGTTCAGAGATAGAAACTGGCTTCATAGATGCGTGTGTTTGGCTTCGACGTGCTGACGGAACACACATAGGGCAGTCTATCTGTGCTGTGTAGGGAGCCTATGTATTCAGCGTCTACTAGCGGACGACGTCATAGCTATGGGGACGCAAGTACTGCAGCCTTCGAGTGGTTTTTTGCTACACCGAGGCGTATGATGACTAGCCGTGGTGTCGGCAGCATATCTATAATTGTCTGTTCGTGTACGTATGCTGTGCGACGGATGCCTGCTTGTTGCAGATAAACTGGCTCGCTGCCGAGGCAGCTGAGAAGGAAATGGAGATGTGGGAAATGATGGCGAAGACTAGGCAGAATAAATATAATACATCTCTGAAATACGGTGGTAGTCCTGGCACAAGCCTGCAAGCCGGCCTGCGTCCGCTATGGGTAGAGAGGAAGTATTTCGGGCGAAGCTGTGCGTCACGCTTCAACTGCGTGTTACCTCCTTCCGAGGTGGTCACACGTGTCTAGTGCGCAGTTGCACACCATCCTGTACGGGTTCGAAATTCGGCTTTTAGACGCTACCGACTACGTAAGACTAGAAGTGCCGGAGGGGCTGCGCCAATAACTTTCACGCACAAGTCGCCTCCCGAGTGCTCTTTCAGGGTCCCGGGTTCCTACGCTGACGGCTGGCGCTACGCTCACGAGGTCCGTTCGCAGAATTCCGAGCAAAGTAAGGGAGCGCCGTATGCACAGAGTATGCGTCTACATACGGGGAGGACCGTCTTGCTCAGAAGCCGCAGAAAGTTTCTTTCGCACAGAGGACGATCACAGAACTTCGAACAAATTAAGCGGGTGCCGTATTCTAAGGGTATGCCTCCACCCCACGTGCGGGCACCCTGTTGCTCAGAAGCCGCAGGAAGTTTTCCGGCGACTAATCGCTCGTTCACATTGCTGCCCGCTGGTGCACGAATTATGTACTCGACGAGTCCCCGGTAGGACCCGAATCAATAATGTTTTAGAGCTGCCCCGAGACGACTGCTGTGCTGAGAGGCTCATGCCGCTCGACAAACCCCAAAGTGGCAGTGTTTTTCAAGTCGTCTTCAGTTGGTGCGGCGGAGCTGCGAAAACCTTGCGAAAAATATGTATGCGAATGTCTGTGATGCCTACGGCTACGTCCTTGCCGGTTTTGTGACAGTATCCTCGTGGGTGCTGCGCCTGCGATACCATGCGGCCCTCTCCGAACTACCGTTACGTTGGGCTGTGAAGTAAATATCCTGTACCCCGATTTTGTATGCACCGGACTTGATCGACGTCGGTTCTGTGGTTTGGGATCACCGTTGTAAGCACGAGGAGCAGCTGTACCAGGGGACGACGAAAGTATCACTGACGAAACAATCCGGCCCCGTATTTAGAGCAGTTCCACCAACAGTCTGTAGCGCGTTACCATCACTTTGCAAATTCTGGATGAGATACACGGGAACGACAAGGTCCACGCATTTCCATACCCTGTTTAGTTTCGACGCGATGAAATCATTCGCAGTCCGCTCCCGTGAGATCAAGCCTAGGGGTGCTCATTAGCAAAACGGCCCCCTTCCTCGGAAAATCAGTACGTAAGGGTATCATCTCGCGCGGGATGGAGCCTAAAGTTGCCCAGTAACAGAACTCCCCTCCAGTTGGCTGGGCTACCTCACGGCTGCGGGTTTTGAAGACTTTTTGCCCGCTTCTTGCTGTAACCTCACCGCTGTTCCCATAAGATTTTCAAGGGATGGGTTCCTGCATGATGTTGTCCTGATAATGACGGCACCGGAGTCATAGTACGTACACATTACCGCAAATGCATTCGTAGTTTTGCCACAAAGGGATAAAGAGAAAGCAATCTTGTCACGACGGTTAAACATCAAAATGAGTCCCCCGCGTAGGTACAAAGCGGTACTAATTGAGGTTTCTTGACATGGCATAACGTGTCCTGCACAAACGGCAGTATAGTGGCGCATCTGTTTGGGAAAAGTTCGGGCTCGGTTGCATGTATGTTAGTGGGTGGGTCGTACTTGTCATTCAGCAGGCTCGCTCGGGCAGTGTTGTTGCACATGCACGCAGCTGAAGGCGCACCCAGCGGTAAGCGGTCTGCAGCTGAGGACACTGAACAAGCGTGAAAGTGCAGGTACGGTTCCGTGTTTCTGGTAGTCATTCAGAGCAGCTTCTGTAGATACGGTCGGGCGCTTCAGCTTACCAGGTCGTCCACCAGTTGTCCCCGATACGAATACTGGTGGCAGATTGCGGCCACCGGTCATAGTCTGCAGGTAGTTCTCCAACGTCCTCGCGCATCGGGGGTCTCTTCAAGGGTTGACGATGTGCTGAAACACAAATTATCACAAGGGACGACCGCTTATACCGGCGTCGAATTTGTACGCCACGAGCCTGAATACGCCAGAGGTGCTGAAGGCAGCTGCGGCATCAGCGTGTGGCCTCGCATTTAGTACAGCACATGCTGCCGTCAAAAATTATCAAGTTGTGGCTTTCCTCGGCAGTCACGTCACTTACTAGATCCTCCGGGTTTGCACGTCGAATGGTGTCGATCGTGCGGACCGTTGCCGGGCATCCGCTGCAGCACAGTACATTTGCAACCATTCAGCACAGAAACCAGGTACAGTCAATTGCTTCAACGCGCACACCACGAGTGTGCGCCATCAGGATTAAAAATGCAGCTTGCTCTCATAACTCAAGACGCAAAAGTACCCCATATGGCCCGGCAACCCGGACCACGCACCATGAATCGAGGTCCCATCCGGACAAAAAAGCCGGTATCACCAGGCTGGCACGAAACAAGTCAAGCTTACGGCTTCTGGAACACAACAACTTTGTGTTCCCCTTATCAAATTGTTCGTTCCATTCGGGTATATCCTCCTTCCTTTGTAAAGTTTTCGCGCCACCCGTTTCGTGGGGCTGGACCGCTCCCTCCTGCTGCATCTTGGCGGAATCGGCCGTTGGCGGTATAGTGGTGATCAAGTGGCGGTTTCGTATCTGCGACAAGGAGCGGACGGACAAAATTAAGCAGACCCCAGTGGTGCTCAATTTATCCGAGAAAACGGCAGGTCCCAAACATGAAGACTGTAGGGAGCAAAATCTTACCACTTAATTCCCCCGAATTGCGCGGCGACTTCCAAGGTTTAAATTATTTATTCGATCGGGCAAGAGCAAGCGACGCACGACGAGCGATTTCTGCAACGACCGGGGAGCTTATGGTGGGGTCGAGGCATGAACGCCACCGTCCTGGACTCGCGCTGTGAGGCGATGTGTGTAACAGCCGTGGCGTGGACGTGTTAGCTGGTAAGATGGCGAGCGGCTTATCGTACGCGTGGACGCCGGCTAGGAATCAGGTTGTAGCACAAGGGAGAGCTTCAGCCCCACGAACGGGAGGCGCGGAAACTACTGGAGCGCTCGCTGCCCAGGCCACCGGACGATTTATAGCTGCTTCCATGGCGTCCGAGCCATGCTGTCCGCTAGTGCGAAGTGGGTCCTGGCCGCAACACGCTCCCGAGGCACCAACTAGCGTGATGTATGGTGAAACAACAAGCCGCGGTGCTGGCAGGCTGCCAAGCCGGCTGCTCTCCGTGGTGGGTCGGCTGCTTGCGTCCGTGTGTAACTCATCTCGCGTTGGCGTGCTCGGCCCTCGCCGTCCAGTGAGCTCTGTCCCCCTACTGGCAAGTGACAGAGCCATTGTTCAGGCCCATGGCCTCTCTGCAGTTCTAGCCAGCGAAGCATGCTTCGAGGGCACGCAGGGCAGGTGATACAAATTGCGCTCCGCTTCCAGTTTCGAGAGCATCCGCCGATACACTTAGTGAGGGCCTTCGATTGAGGAGTACACGTCACTAGTGAGCGTGCACGGCGCTCAGTGTCTTTTTTAGATACGTAGAGCTTAACTGACATCTTGTACACAGCAGCGCACGAGTTAGTATACGCGTTCTGGGGCAGGCCATTCCCAAGCCTGTCAAGCTGCTATAACCACGCCATCGGGTCGATGGTGACCCGCGAGAAAGTGTACACAGATGTTTTAGGCGCGACAACCGGTTCATCGCTTAGTACTCCCCGTTCCTACGCCAGCGGTGGCATAAGTTAGGATTGACACGTAACTCTGAACACGTGTACGCACCAGAAAATACGCGACAATCGGCACTGACACGGGGCACCCTGCGCAGATGGCTTGCCGAAGGGGCGTGCGGCCGAAACTGAGGCAGCTGCGCCACCTGCACTCTGCGCCACCTGCACTCGCCGTAGATGGCGTGGCGCTACGTGTACTCTCGGGCTCTGTTCAGCCATCGAAGCGGTATATAGAGGCCGGAGCTCGGACATCGAAGACCTCTAGCACATCACAGCTTCACGGTGGCGCCGTGAGTATCCCTCAGCAGGCGCCAGCCGCGTGCAGTCGGTCCTTTAGCCTATCCTTCACGTTATCGTTGGACAGAGCCTGCTCCAGACGCAGGGAGTGACAAACTACGGTTGTCAGAAGTCTGTGAAGGTGTATGTTTGCGTTTCACAGTGGTTCACACGGCACAGTGCGGCTGGCGAGGGGCCTCAGGAAGTCACTAGTGGTGACTGTGTAGTCACGCGTAGAAACGCATACATGGAAAGGAAGGTGCTCAATGCGGGCCACGGAGCGCCTAGCAGAGCAGCGGGATGCGTTGGGAGCGTGTAAATGGGTCACTCAGCATCCTGCAAAGAAGTACAGTGTACTGGAGATGTCGACTGACCACAGTTGAAGTGTACAGTAGAGAACAGGGAAGGAGGCGGTTACACCGCAAGTCTAGGCCCGATGACTACGTCCGCATGCGACCAGTCTCTATGAATTGGTAGTATTCAAGCTGCCTCTCACCGGGCCACTGAAGGGCTCTCCTGCGTTAAAAAGCAGAGGCGCAGAGGAGTCGGACGTTCTTCGCGATAGCGCCTTTAAAAGCTCTTTTTCTCGCGAGCTCTCCTCCACGTCTTCCAGAAACTGTTAACCACATATTCGCCCAGCACAGGAAGGCACTGAACCCTGGGAGGCTTGCCGCCAACTGCGACCGCACGGCCATCCAGCGCCGAAGGCGGTTTTCAGCGCACTGCTTCTTACTGAACAGGCTTTCCTGTCGTTGCCCTTAGGCAAGTTCGGCGCCCAGTTGGTGTTCCCTGCGAGCTGTCCGCCTTCCTGCAGAGCGGCAAGTGCGTGGTGCTTCAGCAGGTGGCATGACAAGTCTTGTCACTACGTGCCACGGGAAAGCTGGCGTATTCTTCGGCTCACCAACTCTTTCACATCAAAGTCTTTCAGTATATCCGCCACCATCTCGCTTTTCGCCTCATGCCTAGCGGCGCACATGCCCACGCACCGCATACAGAATAATTGGATATTCACACGAGGAGGTTAGTAACGACGGCTGCTTTCAATAACGATAAAGGCTGTGCAACACCGGCGATGGTGCATAGATTCTCAAGTGGAGACGGGCGCCCGCCAGAAGGTGCGTTCTCGGCTGCTGGCGTCTCGCACAAACGAACTTCCTCTCGCGGCGTGTGTATCACTTCTAGTGGCTGAACGGGCAACTGTGTGTTAGGCGGCTGGCGTTGTCGCGCCACCGCACTGATGGGAGTCCTTCACGGACTTGTACGCACCTTTGCACCAAAAGGACCACCTTGTGACCATGGATTACCGAATTCACCTGCTCAGGCATTTCTTCCTCCGCGAGGTTCTCCAAGTGATGCTCTCGCCTTCCCATGGTTTACGGCACCGATGTAACGACGGCATAGAAACGACAGGTGCGGCAAAGCTCAGCAGCGACAGGCGAAGTTACTTCCGCCCGGAGCAGGTTCGTGCTATGACTGTTGTGGTGCTGGGTTTTAAAACCCCCTAGGCGCGTCCTCGAGGTTGACCGCCGCAGGACGCGGGTCTTTGACAGTGTTGCCACCTTGCGTGGGACTCACCCTGCAACGTGACGTAGCCCACTTGCTCCGTTGTCAGCTTGGTGGTTTGCTGCACTGGCCCCCAGCACACAGCGGAATAGAATAGCCACGAACTCTGTCCTATGCGCAGCGCTGCGCGTCGGTTATGTGGCGCATGGCAGCGTCGGTGTATTACCCCTAGTGAACAGCTGCGGCGGAGCCCGTCCCAACTATCTGAAACCTTTGTCATGGTTTGCAAAGTCGTACGTTTCCCGCCACCCCGGTCTCCTACACGCTGCCGCCCGCAGTCACGCCCCGAGGTAGCGCAACGCAATGTAGAGTCAGTACAGGGCGTGCTGCGACTAAGCGACGAGAGCTAGCGCCCGCAACCTCCTGAAGCCTCCTGCCAGAGCTCAGCACGCCCTTTATGACTGGTACTATCGTGATGTGGCTGGCGGCCAAATTGTGTCCCCACGAACGCACGCTAGACTTCATTAGGTCCCCATTGTTCTGTGTGTAAGCGTGCATCGTCTACCGTGCATGATGTGTCATCAAGCTGGAAAGTCGACACCGCTACTAGGATGGAAATCGGTCTTTCATGCGTTTCCAGGAGGTACTCGTTTCAGCCGGCGAGCGCGTGAGGTGAATAAATGGTCTGCAGAAATATCAAGCGCCATCTGTGTCCGCCATATCATTTCCACAGCCCCTTGACGAAAAGCAACGCAAAAAAAGTATGTTCGTTCAACAGCCGCCGTGCTAATGAAAGCGAGGTACACTCACTAGCATCTGCTGTGTGTGCAAGGACTTCTAGTGGCGACACCGCGGAGTGGACCTAGACGCGCTCTCTAGACCCTTGCAGGCGTGCAGGTCGCCAGCGTGCTAGCCAGAGCATGGAAGTCTGATAAGTTTTCTTAAGGAAGTTTCCTGTAACACAAAACGCACCCACCAGGCTAACCCACCTAGTGCGCACCAAATTTCCGCCTTTCCACCTTGCTTGACTGCTAAGCCTGCACCTGTCACGTCCGACACGTCATCACGAACGCAGGCACAGAAGTATGTCTTAATTTGTGGAAGTGTAGAACCGCATATATAGATGAGTCTTGCCCGCAGAATACTTGCTGCGGTAAGGTCGCATGGTGCACAGGCTTGGAGACCTCGAGAGCTGCAACAGGCACGGCAGCGCTTTAAGGGGTCTCACGCGAGCTGAAAATTCAATACTAGGGAAGTGTACGCGCGTTTCATACTCGCGGCGGAAGATATTGTTCGAGATACACTACTACGCAGGCGCGTAGGCTGGCTTGTTGCCTGCGCATATGACATAATGCTCCCAGGCTAACGAGAGAAGCGGCTCCGCCGCCGCAGCACTTGAGAATGCAACTGCTAATCATAGCGTCGGCTACATGACTGCGGTCCTTGTTTTCGCCGCGCGGAAGCTACCGTCCAGGCCGTGCTGCTGGATGCTCGTGTCAGCAACCATAGTGAAGACGGTGCCGGCCGCCTGAAGAACTTCCTGGTTGGGAGCGGCACACCTCGTGCGCTATATGCTGTGGCGCCGTCATGTGACCAACCGAGTGTTTCGCCAGTGCCTTGTCAGCGGAAGTGTGTTCCGTGAGCCCAGCCTCCAGAGGCTGGCACGCGGCAGGGAAACGCAGCTGCGTATGATAGGGCACCACTGCCAATAAGCTACTCTGATGTGCGTATCGCTATACTACGCTTGCAGCGACATCAGATCCATCCGGTAGATCTGAGGACCATGCTGGTGGCTGCTGTAGCGGGCGAGACGCTGACACGTTCCAGTGAGTTTGGATGCGTCAACACGGCCCATTCACTGCACCACACGAAGTTGCGCAACGTGCCTCCACGGAAACTAAAGGCTTCCGGTCCCCCTTTTGGTACGCTCTCCGGGTTCCGGTCCGTCATCTTTGTCGTAGACGGTCCCAGCGCGTGCATCCTATTGTGCCTCAGAAAAGCTAATCTTAGGCCTAGCGTCACATGATTCTTAGCCGATTTTGCTGTTGAGGTCTCTTGCGTGTAGCAGAAGCTGCTCTTGATATGCCGACTCCCATGGTTGCTGCTGTCAAGTGCCCTTCCCCTGTGGACCAAAATCGCATGGTGAGGCGCTACAGCAAGCCTAAACGTAGAGCACATCCGCGCGAGAGGCTAACTGTAAATACTCTGTAAGCGGTGCTATCTTGATACTGATATGTTACCCGTCAAATCACCGTTGTAACTACCATTAGGTTCTGACGCGGTATTACACTGACCGAAGGTAGGCCAGCGTCAACACATATACCAGCAGTCAATGACTGGACCCGCCTACTTGAAAGAAAAAGTTTCCATGGGATATATATCACGGTTGCAGACTTGGTAGCTTAGCTCTGCCAACCTTGAAAAACATCAGCCAACGCAGTAGCGGTTCTACATACCATGGAAGGCAACACACACAGGTAGTCGCTGGAACGAAGTCAAGTTTTCCGATTTATACGCACGTATACACATACGTTTGCGCTAACAGAGCGCGCAGCGCGCCGCCTGCCGGCGAAGAGCTCTCAGCAACAAATCCTACACTCGTCTGTCGTGCTCACAACGGGCAATTCTGCAGTTCGGGAAAACGGCAGTTTCACCGGGATAGATCGTGGCGCAAAACACAACTGCTAGGCGGACGCACAGTTCTGCAGACGTCCTCTATGAAACACTACGTCTCATAATCTTAGTATCTAGCCCTGTTCCACAGTACTACTTCCGCTGCGTAGTAATAAGGGATCAAGCGGATCAGTTCCGACTCAGAACCGAAAGCTACACTCCCCCACAGGCTTGCAGCTTCTGCTTTAGTCTCTCCTTCTCCGCAGAGTTATTGAGGGCATTTTCCTGCATCAACACAGATACCATTACGCGCCGCCACAAAGGTGCGCGCGGCCTCAACAGGTGACCCTAGATGCCAGCAGGTGAGTCCGAGGGTTGCTGGCTGTGTGTGAGAGCGCATGGAAGAAGTCTCCTGCCGCAGCACTGATGCCGAAGTTTTCCAATGATAGTTCTTACCGCGCCAGTATATAGGCAGCCTCCAATGAAGAGGTAAGGCGGCGAGGAGCCAGAGGCTTTTTTCTTCAGCTGCACTAATAATTCCTCTTTTTGAGCGCATCTTCCCATATCCGCCACATGCTGCACGATCGTAAATGCTCACTCAGCACACGGTAACCACAAGTTGTTGGGAGCTACGCGCGCCGCATTTATGCCGTAAACAATACCACTACGCAGAAGACGCTTGAGCGAAGAGCAGCAGAGCCGGCAGTCACCCGAGTGCAAAGGCTGACTCACCATATCTTTGGCCTCTACGGACTTCAGCGCAGAGGCAATTTCGTCTCCTTTCTTGTCATCCCTGTGGCAGCGACACACAAACACCACGGCTCTGCTCCTGTGCGGGCCGTCTAGGCATATCTCAGGCAGCAAGCGAAGCTGGCCGGTTCAGTCTGCTCCCTGCTTACAGCTCAGGGTGCACGGCTTACTTGTGGGTAAAGAGAACGACTTTGTGGTCCTTCAGCATAGATTCGATGTGAGCAGGCACCTCCTCTTTGGAGGTGACACAAGTCGGGCTGCACTCTGGCATTCAGCTGTGACTAGGACTGCGCAAGCGAACGTACGGAATAATTAACTGTATGTGCGGAAAGAAGCGAGAGGAAAGGTTGTGGACGGTATGCGCCACACGACGCGGCCGCTCTGCCTGTAGCGTCGCACGGCTCGTCTCTCCGCCGTGCGGGTAGCTTCTTTCTGCTGGCTTGCATCTATGCAACGGGCTCGTCCCGGGCCAGTTTGACACTGACCCGACCCGACGGTTGTACAGCGGTCGGTCGCTTCGGATGGGTGGGGCACCCTGCTCGTGCTGAATCCGGAGCAAGAGGGTGGTTGAGGCTACGCGCTAGGACGGTAAACACCCTTGTGTCTCTTATTAGAGTGCTGGCCACACCGTCAAACGTCCTGAAAGGCCGTCCTTGCAAAGCGTGTTTCACCTCGCGCACCTCAGCTTGCTCTACGTGGCTTGCCGGCCGGGCCGACGTGCACGCAGCAGCCGTATTCAGCAGGCTCAGCAGTAGCGCCCATGCTTAAGGTTTTTGATGCAGCTAAAAGACTCGCGCGCGCTCCGCACGTCTGCAAAGGGGAAGCACGTACAACGTGAGACTAGCGGGAGGCGTAACGGGCAGAAGGGAATAAGGAACAGGTGGTCAGCTGCTTCGTTGACGCATCAGTGCCAGCAGACGGCCTTGCCCCTGTGCGGGTCGACTGGTCAAAGCCATATTGACCCTGCGCAGGAAATCTCCCTTCTAGCAGTTTGACTGCTGCAGGTCTCAGGCCCCGTCTACCTCTATCGCTCACTGCACTCCGAGAGGACAGCGTGCCAGCGGGGACCCTGCAGGCCTTGGTCCTGACCACGCGTAGCTTCGGGCACCTGCCAGGCCTAGGCTCGGCTTACAGGTCCTAGGATGTCATGCTGCTCTCGCTACGCGTGACGCCGATAAGCTCGATTTCTCTTGAGTGGCGTGGCGACGGCTCTGATTTACGGCAGTGAGGCGGCCGATGCCAGTTAGCCTTTCCACCCGCAAGCGCGTGGGGGTGTCACCTCTGCTTGCCCTCTCTGCCAGCCCAGCTGTGCCCGCCCCGGTTTCACGCACACAGCAGCTTTCCTGTATGAGAGACCTCGCGCGAATGGCAGTTGATCAGCTGGGAACACGCGGTGGGACGTCCTACAAACTATGGCCACACGACTCGCAGAGGCAGTACATGCCTAGAATAGTAGCCTTCAAACCAGAAAGCCGCCCAGAGGCGTTGATACTTAAAACGCGGCAGGGCATACCTTTTGCCTCCCGCCTGCGCCCGAGCGCTCGGAAGAAAATGGCAACCCCTCTACGTGTAGGCGAGTGGTGCACGCGAGGCAACGCGCTCTGTAGGGCAAAATCACCGACTGACAGCTGGCGGTCTAGCATGTGTACGAAGCGTCTCGCAAAGCCAGCAGTTTCGCTCCAAGCGCCGCTTTGTCCTGTGCGACGGTTGTGTTTGGTATAGCGTTGGGAGGTGGACGCGCGCCTCAAAATTAAGAACCTAAAACTTGCAGTTGAAGCCACTAGCCAGGCACAAACGGGTGTTTTCACGTCATAAACAAAGACCAGTCTTTCTTCCGAACGCACGCCACTGGACGAACTAAGCACGCCCTACCACAATTTCACAAGGCTAAGCATCGGGCCCCCCCGTAAACCTTCGCTGAGGGCACTTTCTTCCATCGCCAATCTAGGACCAGTCAAACATGAATTCTCCAAGTTGCGCGCGGTGTTTGCCAAGCAAATCCATGACACCGACAAGGGCGCGCCGTCCCACTTCGCAGCGCGAGCGTGCCTCTTGGAGACGTCCTCTCATTTAGCAGCAGGCACATGCCTCTTGGAGACGCTTCTTCAGTTTCTCTTTCGCACACGTGTCCGTACAAGCTTGCTCCTTTGCGCGTGAGGAAAACAAAGACATGACACGGAAAAGCGAGTTATCCTCGTGGTGTGAGAACGCCTCTGCCGCGCGCGTGTCGTTTTTCGGTGCCTGTCCCACTGACAAATGACTGTTTAGTGATGTGAAGGGGCGCTCACCGCGCCGCAGTAGGGCTCTCCACCAATAAAAAGCATTGGTGTCGCTGAAGTCGCGGTCTTTTTTGCGAGGACCTCCAAAACCTCATCTTTGTAGTTGCACTTCTCGACATCCTGGATACACTGTGCGCGAAACAAAACATGTGAACAGCCACATGTTTGAGTCCCAGGCGCTGCATTCTTTCGGAAGTACTGCGCTCTGAACAGCTGAAGCACAGGCCCATGATCTTCGCTGCAGCCTTACTCACCAGGATTCCAGTCCTGTCCTTTAGTGTACGAGGGAAGAAAAGCCGGCAGGGTACTGCGTATGCTGGGGCCCAGTGCCATCTAAGGCAGACGTGAGAATCATTTGACAGCTTACCAGATCTTTGACGTCGAGGTCTTTCAGCACGTCGGCCACCCTCTCGCTTTTCTCATCCCTGCACGGATGCGAGACCGCAGCGCACCGCAATACTCATGTCTCTTTGTAGTCCCTCGCCTACCAGCAGGAGACAGACAAGCACCAACTTACTTTCTCGTAAAAAGAACAACTTTGTGTCCGTTTATCAGACAGTCCACGTGCTTGGGCACCTCTTCTTTGCTCGGGATGGAAGTCTGGCAGCAGTCCATCATCGTGAAAACGCTGGCCGAAAGTGTCGGGTTTTGTAGTCCAGAAGACGAGTGAGGTTTTAATAAGAATTATAGTTGTGGAAGGTATCTGACAGAAACGCTTTCAGCCGCCGCGCTGGACGAAGCCAGCGCAAGGATGACAACTTTGATCATCTGCCAGTCACCACAACGCGGACAGGCACGTCCCGCCTCCTGTTGATGTGGCAGTGAATGAAATCTCTAACACAATTGCTCATCAGCTGTACGACAGTGTTCTCTCCTCGCCGCTGCCACCCGAGTTGCCTCCCCGTGCGGCGCCCCGTTGTGCTGAACGAAACGAAGGATTCCGCCTCGCCGCGACCAGGGCTTGTTTCGAAATGCGGTTTTTCTCGTCCGTCGCAGACTGTGTAGCGATAATCCTTCCGCGTACGGTTTTCGGCTCTTCAGTTCGTGTCAGTGTTCAAAAGTGGGTCTCGACCATTGCAAGTCATCCGGGCCGACCCGGACACTACCAACGTGTACGACTCCGCGGCCACTGACATCCACCTGACGGGGAATGGGCAGTATTACGAGGCTCGTGCAGAAGGGTAGCGAGGCATGCCATGAAACAGCGAGTCCTGAATTTCGTCCAGCGCGTCCGCAGGAAGCCTCTTACTCATAGACTGCTGCGCGACATCAATCCCGCGGCGGCCTTGGCGAAGTTCAGAAGAAGACCAAAGTGTGTGTACGCGGGGGTTGACAGCGTATCTGCGAAGTGTTCCACGTTGTGCCCCCGCAACGCTGGTCTGCTGCGTCGCCCAAAACCACGCCTGTGCGCTGTCAGTTGACCTCTGATGCCCGTGCGTGTGTGTGCAGGGTGGACGCTGGCAAGACTCTGTACGTTTCCCATCTACTTGTACAGAACCGATATGCGTACGGGGACCTGTACGAGCGGGGAGTCCACTGACAGCAACCTGCACCGTCCGTATGCAGCTGCCCTGATGGCCAGAGAACACGGCCGCTTCTAGCTCCGCTGCCTCGTAGTCGCCTCGGACTCTGCAACGTGAGCCAGCTTGTTTCTCCACGACATATCGTATATATCCATCTACATATATGTGCACAGGTATAAATCTATATACATGTATGTATGTACATATATATACACCGCGCTGCCCGATGTGCGGCCCCGCGTGTGTGTCGCACGCGCTCGCGTGTACACTTGTGTCAAACTCCACTGACTGTACGTCTTTCCGGAGGTCTGCCCCCACAAGCAGATGCACGCTCCTCAAACCTGCAAACACTTGCAAACGTGAACTGCATATATATAAATCCGTAGACGTGGCTAGGACGAAACAAGAAGGAACCTCAGATCTGCCCTTAACGCGTCAACGCTTGTTCGGTTAGGCATACGGCTCCCCCCCCCGATAGCGCAGTGTAACAACAAGCGCGGTCGCGGACACGGACAGGTGCTTCACCGATTTCTCCGCGGCGGTATGCAAATAGTCAAACGCCCGCCCGCACGTTCGGGACCCGCTGCAGCGTGCAGGAGCGTTCAAACAGAGCGACATGCGCCGGGCGCGGGTGGCTACCATACTACGTCTTAACTAGATAAAAATGTGTACGGTACGTATCCGTATGCAGCATGGCACGAGTGACCTGCTGCTTGTCCGGTGTCTCCGCTTGACAAGCGTCCACGTACGTACAGCTGTGTCGGAAGCAGCGAAGAACGGCAACAGAGACCAACGCACTGCTAAGTAACATCCTCCGCAAGCCTGCTCTCTCCGGAACCTGTCGAATGCTACCCACACAAAGCAAGATGTCTGGACCGGCATCTCCTTTGGCGCGCCTGAACTGGCATCGTAGCACTGGGTGTATACGGCACCAGTTCTCCAAGCCCAGTCTCCCAGCATGCCCTTCGGCTAATTATACAGAGAAAAATACCGACTGAAAACCTTGACCGGCGTGCGTTTTACGTTAGTTGTAGGTTCCGTAGAAAGGCAAACAACGGCGTGACATCGTGAGAGCACAATGCAACGTGGACCTGCACCGAGAAGCCGCTTCACGCAAACATACACATGCGTTCTGAGTAGACATCCCGCTACAATGCCGTCTTTTAGGCCAAACCTGCTGACAAGAGCTCCCACCGAAACTCCCCCAAAGAATACCTCTTTTTATCATTCTAGGTTTTACCAGGGACATCCCCCGCGCTGCGTCCTTTTAATGTACTCGAAAGAGGGTATGCCCTACGACGAATTTGAGCAAAGATAATGTGCTCGGCAAGCGCCCAGCCTGCGCAGCGGACACTGCTCTCGACAGTAGCTGCTGTAACAGACGCCTACACTGCTCTCGCGAAACTATCAGAAAGGCCTTCAGTAAAACTTTATTTCTCTTTTTGCTCTCATGCGCTCTGGGTTTTTATTTCGACCGGCGTTACCGGCGTGAGCTGATTTCTTCTTCTCTGAACGCTGCGCGCGCTTGCGAACAACATTCGGATCGTGCCTGAAAAACACGCAGGCATCTCGATCATTCGGATGATGCAGCCGGACATCAGCATGCTTTCTGTTCACTACAGTAGTGTCCCCTAGCGGAAAACGCGGAAGAGCAGACTTCCTGCAGTTCGAAACGGGACACGCGCCCACGGCCGTAGAAGTAGGCGGCAGCCTTTATAAGGCGCGGAGCCGTATACCAACGGTTATGCCCTCTGTCTGTCCGCTACGTCCCCGCCTTTCTACGATTTTTCTGTGTGTCCGCACGGGCCACGGGGGAGGTTGTGTTTCTTTCGTTGGGTGCCACACCGTAGTCTTCATGCTTACGCTCGCGCCTTTGGGTAATAACAGCGAATCGGAGAATCGTGAGACTCTTCAGGGTATTCGTCAGAAGAAGTATCCGTATCGTAACCCGGATCGTGCCTTTCAGGAGGTCGATCCTCCTCACCAGCATCGCTGTCTGCTTCTTGCCGTGTAAGGCACGGCCCTTCAGTATTGGAAGACGGGCGGCTAGCTTCGACCTGCACGCGGTAACAGATTATACACGAAAACACGTTGATACCAACGGCCAACTTATGCATCGAAAGATAAAAGTAAGCGAGAGCGCAGACTGGCTCCCGACGAAAACATCAGAAGAGCGGTGCTGCTACGAAAAGCCTCCTGCGTGCGGCCGGTCGTCCGTCGCTCCCCCCCATTAAAATCAAACACTGCCTGAGGCTTCGACAAATCGCAAAATACTCTTCTAGAAGAAAGGGACACGGATGCCCACAATGCAAGATCCACAGGACGGCTGGCATCGAGAATAATACACCTTTGGCGAAGAAGCGATGCATGCAGGCGCGATGCGTCTGCGGGTCGGACGCCCGCTCTCCAGGGCAGAAAACCCCTAGTCGACTGAGCTGATGGCAGAGCAGAACCCCGCACTCCACAAGAAGCCAGCATCGAGGCAGAATGACATGAAATCGCCTAAGAGAGTGCGGCTTGCATGAGGATCTCCCCCTGTTCCGCAACGTCATTGTCCACAAAAGAGCTCTGCGCCGCGTGCCGCAGCTCTGGTGCTCGATGTAAGTGTGTCTGTGTTTCCGTTGGGAATCTCGAGTGCTCCCTCTCTAAAGTAGCTGGGACAGTATAGCTAGTCGTAGAATGTGTCGGGGTTCCCTGCTCACAGCCGCGTCGTCCTTTGCCTCACAGTCAGTGTCGCTGGGGCTTTCAGGACAGCTTCGGCCGTTCTCCGTGTTCTCGTCTCGCATTCGTCTAGACTCTGTCCACGCTTCTTCGATCGCTTGAAGCTCCTCCGCCCCAAGCACCTCTTCCACGCGCAAGGGTCTCTCGGAGTGTGTCGTATCGCACTCTCCCCGTTGTTCGGTCACGCTCCCTGCATCCGCAATGCCTGCCACTGGAGACGCCTGACAGACCACGTGGAAACTGCCAAGCCGTACGCACAGCAAAAACAGCGCAACAACAGCCGTGGCACGCTGACGTGGGCGAAGCCCGTGCTGGCTACGGAATGACGCAGCCTGCAGAAGTTGCTATTACTCCTCGCGACGTCCTGCGGCACGGGTGACGTTCGCCTTCGCTGCGTGTTACCCACCCTGACCCTAGGACGCGCCCCGCCCCTGGCTATACAATGTAACGGCAATACTTGTATGCAGCTGCCACATTCTAGCGCCACCCTGCAGGGTTTCGGACACTTTGAAAGCGTAGCGAACCTGGTGTATGAGCCAAATGTATGCTACCACAGTTTCCGGAGACGTTCACGTGACTCTACAGGAGCCTATCGGCTAGCACACGCTCGCTAGGCTGTGGGATGACCCCGTGCCACCCGTAACGACATCCCGACGTACTGCACAATATATAAATTTGCCTGCGCTTAGCCCTCACCGCGGTGCTTCAGTGACTTCAACGTTGAACTTCCGCGCAAACAAACTCCGAATACATTCAACGTCGCGCTCGAAGTACATTTCTGCATTCGGGTGCTGCGTCGACACCACCTGTGGCAGGTCTGAAAATAAGCAGAAAGCAAGAGCGCCACCGGTTTATCTTCATAAGCTGCGGGCCCCATTTGTTTTTTGGAGAGACAGCTCTTACAAGAGCGCCCCCGCTACTTAGACCTACTCTCACGTCGCAGCCTGTCTTCAGCGAAAACGTGACCTTCTCTACAGCCCTCCTCTCTGCACACACACCTCGAACCCACACGTCGGGCTTCACTCGCCCGTGGAATATCGAATGCACAGCTGTGAGAGCAAGTAGACTTATGCCTACCTTTGAAGAACTTATGCCTACCTATGAAGGTGATGTGCTCCTTGTCATCGATCATCAAATTGAACTCGTTGAAGTCTCCGTGAATAAGCCCAGCGCGGCCTAAGCGAACTATAAGATGCATCAACTTCTCAAGCACGCGCATTGGCTCAGGCAGTGCTTTGACCTGTGGAGGGCAGGAAAGAGCTACGCACACACAGGCGAGCCAACGTTAGAGTGCCGGGACAAAGTCTACTAAATAGCCCCTCGGGAGTCCCCGAGCCGTCGTCCCGCCGATACCATTTAGCTTCCCAATCATCGGCACAGGTTTCCACAAAGAGTGCAGAGGTCCTTCAACTGAAAAGAAGGGGACGGCGATGAACAGCGTTCAGAGCAAAGGTCAGATACAGCGTATTCGGACATAAGAGTCGTACGTGTTAGGTCTATGGCGTGTACGTATTCGCTACAAATGACGAATGACGGAAGAAGCCGTCATGAGATTTCAGCATGCCCTGGACATGGCATGCGGAGCAGACACGAACGTCGCGGAGATGCTGCTGAGAATACTAGAAGTCACACAGTGCGCTGCAAGGATATAAGCGGCTTCACTGCCGTTCACGTCCCAGAGCCACCATCATATATGTGTACGCACACTCGAAGATGACTTTTTACCGAAGGTGCATGTCGCCAAGCGCGTATATTCTGCCAGGGGCGTTTCAGTGAGTGAAGTGCGCACGAAATGTGCCTCTCCCTTCAGGCACGCGCGTGCGCATGTCCAGATGAAACGCGGATAGATCTTGCCGCGGGATGCGCGCGGATAAGGATTGTGCCTACACATCTGTGCGCCAATAGTTTTTCTTCTTTACTTGATGGTAACAACGAGAGGGACGTGACGGCTGATGGCACGCATTGTCAAAGGGGGAACGACCCTTGCCAGCCCATGTCGGCGGTCGAGCGGCAGCGTGACAACGAACCTCTCGAAAGGGGGTGGCGTCTATATATTCCATCACAACCGCATGCCTGTTCACATCGATGGGCTCCGGCACCGGGAACCTGTGGGCGTATAACGCCTTTAAATAAAAAAACTCCTTCAAAGCCGCGAGGCGGGCAAGGTACATCCAGCTCGCATGCTGTCGACGCTGCAGGTAGTCTCTGTTGCGCTTGATTGAACGGAAAGATATCCGTCCTGCGAATAAAGAGTGACACACTACGCACAGAAAAAAAATGCGTACGTTGGTACCCCGCAGGGGCTCAGATGAAGACGCCGATGCGGGACTGCAAACGCCAGAGACGAAACATATGCTACAAGAGGTATGCAGCGCGGGCCAGTATACCGTACGTTCGTAGTCTGCATACGTACAGCAGGCATAAAACTGAGCATGGGCGCACGTACAACCGACACAGGCACCCGGCCTGGGCCGCATAGACAGACGCATAATCTGCAGATTTGTTCACGGGCAGCGAATGACCGTCGGGCAGCCAGGACGCCTGCACGTAGCGATAAACTGACGACACGACGCGGGACTCTGAATCGAGACGGAGCACGCAGCTAAGAACACATGTGCATACAAATGTATATATACGCACATCTATGCATGAGCGGGTGTCCCCACCGGCCCGCAAGTAGAAGGCCTGCATAGCGGTGATCCCCTAAGCATGCTGACACACGGTCGCCTGATTACACAGTCCACTTGTGCGTAAAAAGACCCTCCTTGTCTGAAGAAGAGACAGAGAGATACGCCCGGAAGAGGGCAAGTTCGCTGGAGGACGCGGGCCAGCACACTCTTGTAGATACGCTTGCGGATATCCGCAGATTTGCAGCCGGATCTGCTAGGGAGCGCGGTCGGCCCGATCCTGGTAATAATCTGTAGGTTGGGCTTCCCAGTGTAATGTATTCATGATGTAGACCCACCGAGGCGGTGAAGCTTCAGCACGACTACTCTGCCATCCGTCGTACGGCAGATGTGTATGTCGCTTTCTTTGCCGACGCCTATTCTGACGCCAACGCCGCTGAGCAATCCTCGCCTCACAAATGCGTGCAGCGCCAGATAGTCATAACCTAAATAAGTGAGCTTCAGCCCCTCGTATTTCTGGTTGGTTCGATAAAGCAATTTGTTCTTTAGCAAAGACGTGATGATATCTTGAATCGAATGTCGCTTCAAGCACGCAATCGACTGTATCAGCGCGACCGGCACGAACTCGTGGTTCTTGTGACCCATCTCGACGGAGGTCAGCACGCGAAATTCCTCCTTTGTCATGTAACGAAGGAGCTCAGCATTCAGCCTCATGTTGGTCTGTCAGAGAATAAGCGTCTTCCACCAGAATGATTCAGCACAACACCGGGGGGCACACGCATCGTTTTCCTGCCTTCCCATATATATATATATATATATATATATATTTGGGGAGGCAGACACGCACGAAATCTGTGCTGCCTCCCACATATAGTCGTGCACGTGGATATTGCGCAGCCGTTCCACGTCTGTCGGTGGTCAAGAGTGTTAACAAAGAAGCAGCAGTAGCACCTGTACGGCTCACCCGTTTAAGCCGACGCGTGCCGCACGGTAGTGCACTCGTGGAGGGCCGCAGCCGTGAAGCATAGCAAGCAAGGCCCGTGGAAATAAACCCTGGGCGCCCCTCCTTTCTTCCCCGCCGGGAGTGGTAAGGCGGGCGAGACGTCCCCTCTGCTATTCTTTACGAGGATGTAAGCGAGAGTAGAAGGCGCCCGGCGCGGGCGCCAGACATGACTCATGATCAATATGTAAATAGACTGCGCAAGGTGTGCTGCTGTGCAGTTGAAAATGTATACGCGTGTTTCGGGATGCGGTCTATTGAGCTCCGGAATACAGACATACGAAGACGTGTATATATACATGGAGACGCTTCCGTTGAGCACGCTACAGCGTGAGACACACGGCGCGCAGACATATACAAGTAAGCTCAGCATTCACTCGCCCGCGCCGGCCTGCGTGTTGTCCACCGCATGCTGCACGTTCCGGAGAACGTTTGTGCATAAATGAGTTTACGCGCGACGGTACCTCAAGTCACTCGTCGCTGCGCTGGACCCCCCTCACAGGAGCTTTACAGGCGGCGCATGCGCCTGCAGAACAGCCGCAGAAAGACCCCAGCCTGTTCACAATTCCTGTGTGAAAGTTGTCGCGCAGAAACACCGAAGTAGAAGAATTACTTGTAAAGGGGTGCGGAAGGCTCGCTTTCCGAAACTTTGCATGCGGCTATCCGCGGTACAGCCTTTGCAGAGGGTGCGTGCCGTCATGGGCTGCGCGCCGGCAGTGGGGTATCCGGGTTCGGCTCCCTCTACAGTGCAAATGAAATATGCAGGCAGTTCGAAGTGGTGAGTGGGAAGTCCTCGAATGACGTGTGGACCACACTGTCAAAGCTAGCGGCAATCTTTACGTCGTATGCTTCGGCTATTCGGGAAACATGCGACACCAAGCTAGTAGATGGGACACTTGTGTCGAGGCAACTAGGAGCCGGGACGCGGCAACAGCGCGCAGCACCGTAGTCTCGGGCCACCTTCGCACAGGAAGCAGTGTACCGCGGGTGTGATCGATGGTATGCGCGGGAGAACCTCAAAAGGCACGTGCGGGTGAGAGCCTGCACGCTAGTAGTTCAGGCCAGATGAACACGCTGGGCTGGCATCCTCCCCATGCCACAGTTGCCGAGGTAGCTCGCGGGGCACTGTAGAACTAACGCGGAAGCTACGCGGCTGCGACAGTTGACCGTATTCGCGCTCTCCCACTGGAAAAAGTCTTGCGAAGGGCAGGGACGTCGTGTTGTCAGAAGCGCCAGAGCGCGGAAGCGACAGAGGCCGGCGAAGGTTTGCATGGACTTGTGGGAGCTGTGCGCGCCGGCAGGCTACGGGGTGAGTGAACGAATCTACTTTCGGTGAGCATGTAGCAGCCTGGGGCAATGTCCGCATTCAGAGGTATTCTCGCACTTGGAAAGCGGTGGGACTGACACGGCCGTTGCGCAACCAGAATCCTGAGTCGAAGCGGGGAAGCAAGAGAAGCAGCTGAAGCCCTGGCGAGAATTGTTCGTGCTGTGGCAGCCGCTAGACTGCAGTGTAGGATAACAGATTTACTTCCGGGCGACAATATATCAGATTTACTTCCGGTGACCGTATAGCAGCCTGTGGAGATGTCCATACTAAGAGATCGCGATGGCAGCTGCTTGCGGCGGTGCGCTCCCGCTCGAGTGACGAAGTGGCTGTGTGCGGACAAAGACGAGGTCGACGCACGTGCGTTGCACCGTCCGCAAGGACAGAAGACCGGGTCGCTTCGAAAGCGGAATCGAATTCTCTTCAGGCGCAACGAGGGGGAGATGCTCGTATGTGGACGATAGCATGACTAATCAATGTGTACAGGAACACGCTCACTCATCGATAATACCAAGGAACATCAACACAGTAACCTCTCCTCAATTCCAGAAACCCGCCGATACGGAGACAAAGAGAATTCCCTTGTACGATTATGACGGCACCGCGCTCCAGCCGTCGCTTGTGCAACTCCAGCAAGCCGTCCGCACACCGTGATGACCCCACACGGACCGCGTTTAGAGTGGTCTCCTGAACTCTCACCCAGCTGTTTCGGGACGCCCCGAAGCCACATTCGTCTTCAGCCGCCTGCACAATATTCCCCACTTGTGTGAGGTGCGCCCCTCTGAGAAGTTGACTTTCCGAGCAGGAACCACCTCCCACAGCGTTTAAGCGAAAGCGGTCCAAAATTAGTTCGTCAACGCGACGTCGTTGCCTTGCAGTATAAACTTTTCAGATCCATGAGTCGGCTGCTCGACTGCGTTTGAGCAGAAGCGGTGAAGGTTACTTGGTCATCGCCGCTGTCCTACGGCGTGAACTCCCTGTTTATCAGGACAGAGGGGTCTATCCTGGAATTCTACCCCACAGTTCGGTGGTTTCGGTTATGCGGCGTACACAATGGGAGACCGTTACCGCGCTGGTGTAGTGGCCCTTCTAAGAGGTGCATCAAGGGAAATTATCGGATTCCGGACAGCTCACGGCGACAGGCGGAGGTGTGCACGAGCCACACAGCCGCGCCAGCGGTAACGCCAGAGACCGTGACTGATGAGGGTGCCTGGCCAGAGGCAAATCTTTTTTTTCCACACCTAGCGTTTGGTGCAACATGCACGAACAGATGCGGCTACAGGTCTCATGCGGCCACGTGGGTTTATACTTTACGGCTGGTCCCGCCGTCCTGCCAACGCCTTCTAGGGTAGCCAAACAGGCATGAAACTCTCTACGTTGCTTGTGTGTGACGGGAAACCGCGGTAGGAAGGCGTAGCTGTCTTCTTCTGGGTCCGCGTGTCGTGCGTCACAAGCTAAGCCTGCAGTGGAGATTCTCGTTTGTTTGCTGCCGTTCTATCCTACTATTTACGGTCGACCCTGCGGAGACCGTACCGCTGGCAGGTGTGACCACACAGTGTACCGCTAGCTATGTCACGGTTTCGAACACGCGTGTATCAGCTGCGCGGCAGGGTCAAGGGTCACTGCGAGACTAGAATTCCACAGTGGCCGGGCGACAAATGAGCTGGTTGTCGGCAGGTATGGGAAAAGTGCTTGGCGCGCGCTTACTCTACTGATTTTTGATGGCGTCCTTTCATAGATCGCCGTATAGAGTAGAAGGGGGTAATTTCCCAACCGAGCGGAGGCCGGCCACACGTGAGGCTCATTGTAAACGGTGTAGCCCGCACAGAAAGATGCAAGATACGGTACACTTCCACTCTGCCCCGACGGCTGTGCATGTTAGTCAAAAGCCTTAGGGGCTGGATCACGGCTGCTATCGCGCTTGTGTGGTCCCACTTTGAAGGCCTCCTGCGACGAAAGACCGCTGAGAAAATCTCTTTCGTTGCCGTGTGCTAACCGAAAGCTCTTTGTGTACCCTACGATCGTAAAGGACGCGTGCATGGTCAACTGGTAGTAGCATCGGGGCCTTCCTAGTATCACCCATTGTAACTCGTGGAGTCGGATTCCAGAGAGCCCGCGTCGATCTCGCGAAAGTGTGCAGAAGACGCAAGCTGGCAGCGAGCTGCATACCCGTTCCCTGCACCCTGGTGTGGCTTTTCGCAACATCGCGCAGCCTTCCTTGCCAGGGCGAAAGCGTACTTTTGAGTAAGGCTACGCTTGGGCTCGTACTCAGCCTAATCAGTGTCTCTTTGCTACCATTGATCTGCTCGTATTACCCGTGGCTGGATACATGCGGGCAGACGCGGCGGCGCCAGGGCGCGGCCGCAACTGCCAGCGCACTACAGGCTAGGGTATCTATGCCGTTTTTGCAGCAGTCCGGCGGTCCGGTAAATCTCATCATCCCTTACAGCACGTCGCACAGAGTACTCAGACGTCTGGTGCGAGCTAGTGGCACTTTGTCTGGCGCCCGGCGTCTGCTACAGTGTTGCATCCTTGATGACGCATAGAAGTGCGCAGACAGGTTGCACGGCCAAGTCGTACACAAGCTCCACGTATACATGCGGGCGTGGAAATCCGAACATGCCAGAGGACGCAGGGGGCGGTGGCCGTCCTGCCGGAACACGGCTGATTCATCGTAAATGGGGGACCCTTCTGCGACGAGCCGGAACGCGAACTCCTCTGTGCCGCTAGGTCCGCACTCCAGGAAAACGAATTATGAAGACACTGATGACTTTTCGCGGGCGCAGCGAGCCCTACCATGCGTGTGCTATACCACGGGGACTGCGCGGCAGAAGGTGGCGTCGCAATGCGTCCGCCGAAAGACTACGCCCGGGAGTGTATAATGACGTAAGCAATGATCGGCAGTTTAGATGTCTCTAATTTCACATAGGCAGTTGAGGGGGGAATGATATGTGTGCAATGCGGGGATGGAGGCGGAGTAACCCTCTGCATAGGCTTGTGATTTACCCTGTTGTCGAGAAGCACACCGGTGCAACGGATAATGCGTCAGGAAGCGCTGACGTCAATGTCCTTGTGCTGAATAGAAAAGATGTCTGATTTTGTTGCACTTCGCCTGAGGCTCGTCACCCGAATGACTTTTTGCGGCCCCCACTGGCACACGGACCTCTGGGCAAATAACGCTGCAGAGTCTGGTGTGGACGTGCTCCCCATCTGAATTGCCGTAGAACAGGGAAAATCGGCACATGCTGCTAGCCGAGACCAGGTACGTCGTCGCCCGCTGTGACCCGCTGTGTGAACCTAGTGCTTAGGAACATCCGTGAAAGTACGCAGTCATCAGCGCCGACTAGTCACGCGCTACCATGTAGCAGGAACAAGGGCGGGAATACACTCGGTTGAATCTGCGGGCCACTAAATCCGGCCACTTCAGTACCTCGTGTCACCCCTGCGCAGCACCACCGACACCAGTGTTTCCCCAGGGGTTGTTCAGGTCCAAACCGCCCTTCCTGTGCTCAGGCGTAGACTGTCACTGGCCCGAGAAAGAGCGCCGCGGACGCCGTCATCCGGCACGCCGTGTGGGAAGCAGCAGCTGAATCCGTGATGGGGAAGACAAGCTACCCGCCTTGCTGGGCCAGATAAACTTCGGAAGTAAGACGAGACAGTGGCGTGGACTACAATTTATCATGCGTGCAACGTCTAAGTGCTAAGTCGGACGTAGGCACTGGTGCTGACTGCTGGTCACGAGCAGCGGGGGCCGCGCAAGCCGCAACTCGCTACCATGGACTTTCCAGCAAACGCTCGTTTATCCGAATGACAATGTGGTCACCAGCTGCACGCTGACAAAGAAGTACGAAGCGAGCGTACGGCCTCTCCAGGGAGGCGACGCATCACAGCGTATCAGACGGGGTGCAGGGAAGACAGGGAGTACCCCACGTACCGTATTAGCCGACACCCCACCTCACGGTAAAACCACATCCCAGACCGGCCGCGCGCCGCTCTCACATACGTGCATGTCTTCCAGGTCCAGCGAGTGTGCATAATCGTGCGTCTGCGCTCGCGTGTCTTTTTTTCCGCTGCGCGTTCACTGACGTCGACTCGCGTGTCTGGGCGACAGGGCATCCAAACTCGCCCTGCCATTGGTAGGGCTTCTGGCAGCTGACCGTGTGCACCTCGCCTTTCCGATGTATAGCGTTGTGGGTGGTGCCTGTGAAAGCTCTGCTGAAGGACACCTCGGACCAGAACGACGAGGCCGGCAAGACTGCACCCTGGATACCAGCGGGGGAAGGTCTGTGGAAACTTGAGGCGTACACGTCTTCGCACCTATGAGATGGGGCACTGCGATGCGCAGACTTTTTCATAGCCGCACTCCGTCAGCAGCTTTTTGCAGCTTTTGTGCGCGCCGTTTCTACAATTCGTTCTACCGTATACCTGATCCCGGATGCGCGTGCCGATCTCCTGTGGTCAGTACTCTGCCGGAGCTCGTCGTACTGCTGTCTCAATGCGTCTATTCTACAGAGCGCAGGAAAATTATTTGACGCTAACCGTTGCCTACTTTGACTTCGCTGACAGCTGGCTGAAGATGACACGAACCCGGGGTTTGGAAGCACCAGTGTGCGGAAGGAGTCCAGCTGATGGCGGCGCGTGGCCCCCACAATAATAAGCGAAGCGCAATACACCATGGAAGTCTCCCGAATTTACGTTCCTATGATGGAGCTCTGCGCGCTAGTGGGGAGAGTCAAGAGAGTAGATAGGCGTAGATGTGGTCTTCTTCCCTAAACCTGGTGTAGGACAGTGGGCAGGGTCGGCTGGGAGCACTTGTACTGTCTGCCCACGGCGTTGCAAAGCGCACCGGACCAACGGAACGCCTCTCACGTGTGGGGGGCACGGAGGCGTTTCGTAATGCCGGTGACAACTTCTTCTTTGTGGCACCGCACCTCTAGCACTGCTCATATTGAACGTCCAGGAAAAGGCAACGCACTGTAGAAACACGAGGAGGCCCGTGCGTTCCAGATGGAGTGTAGCCACATCCGCGGTGGCTGTTAGCCGAACGACGCCTCTCTCGGAAGTGCCTTCACTATTAAGTCATCAGAGGCTTCGGTGGCGCAGGGTGAGTAGGCCAGTTTTTGTGCCTGTACTGTTCTCAGCAGCCTATATTGCGCGCGGGTGCCGCGTTGTGGAGCTCTGGCTGCTGCAGTCAGGATACAGCCGGTCAGTGTCTTTCCTTGCATTGAACATTGCCGCGTGGTTTCCGCAGTACTCGGGCATACAACGTAGGTAGGCGGACTGCCCAGGTGTACGCGCGACACGGGGTCCGACGTGTATCTTTGCATGGTGCACACCAGTGCTCGCGCGCATAGACAAGATGTTGCGCAATGGATTCTGCGGGCTGCCCTCACAAAACACATCATGGCGCCGGTAAGAGTGACGCAACGCAGCGCACAAGGGATGCTCGTGTAGCGTTTCAAATCGCTTAGCCATGGCGTCTGTTATACAAGCGCCCGCAAGGGCCTCAGGTGTCTCCACTGAACATCATTGTATCTCTGTCCGTTTACAAGCCTGTGTACGTCGTTCACGCAAGTCCGGAAGCCTCGCGCGTTCCTACCGCACACCCCGTGGATGGTGGGACACTTTACTACTTGCGTCGTACTCTGGCGTGTCTAGGCCGGAGTGTCAATCTCGTGTCTCTGTTGTGCCCATTCAGGCCGTCTCGCGGATGCGGCTCCACACAAACTACAACTAGCCGTCGTCAGCAGCGCCTTAGCACTGACGCGTCGAGGCTGCCAGACAAGTTGCGCGTACGTAGTAACACGCGTCTACGGAGTGAAGGCCAGCTCAAGGTGCGCCGCTTGCTGCCTCTCTTCTGGTACGCGCTGCCTTTGTGATCCTGGGCTTCAGCGTCTGCCCCCGTGCACCCTCCTTGTGGTAGTGGAGCTGACTGGTTACAAATATCTTTTTCGGTCCACAGCGGGGCAGTGAGGTGTCCTCCTTTGGAGTTCTTCGTTTCAAACGCGTTTTCACGCCACGCGCCGACTTCCGCTCTCTTTGTTTCTAAGGAATTCACACGAGGCTGCATCTGTTTTGATTTATATGTGTGCGGGGCACATACACCATAACGAGGGCCAACGTTCTCCCACACTCCCGTCTTGCCTGTCGTTGGCATCTTCTTTCAATGGAAGGCTCTGTGTTCCGCCCTTTCCCCCGAGCATCAATGCCGCTCAAACTACAACGCGCACAGCGTGGGGGACGCGCGATCACTTCTAGTCTGCTTGTCTCGCTTTTCCTTTTTTTCGTCGTCCCCCCTTCGTGCTCCTTCGCGTTAGTACCAACGGCGGAGAAGCAACCAGGGGTGGGGATGGTCGCAGCGCCAGCGAATGCGCATCTTCCACAATCCCCGCTGGGAAACGGCTTGACGGCAGCAGAGGGCGTAGATGGCACACCGTCGGCCCCCTACCGCGGTTCCCCTCTATCCCCTGCCGCCTTCAGTTTTGCTACGCTACCGACAATGGTGCTTACGGATACGATGCCTGCCTATAGTCCCGAATCTCCAGCTACGCAGGCGTTTCCAGGTTACTCGACGCTAGGGATGAATTCCCTTCCACGTAGAGCGTCCGCTACACAAGCGATGCAGCATGGCAGTGGAAACGAAAGAGAAGACATGCGAAACCAGGGGGGCGCAGGTGATGTTTCAAACGCGGCCGTACAACACCAAAAATCGTATGCTGGAGCTCTCCAAAACCACGCCGGTGCAGCGCCCTTACAGGCGATGACATTGATACCGACAGGAGCCATGTTGCCCCTCAACCCTAACCTGAGCCTGCTGCGCGCTGACCCGCGAGGCCCGAGTGCTGCTATGATGTCACAGCACACTTTCGGAAAGCTTTCAGACGATGCTGGCCCTTGGCATACGCGATATTCGCTCTCCCCACTGCAAGCAACTATGCACTCAAGGCTCTTGCACACACATGTAAACCCTGCACTTTGTTGCAGACACGACAAGTACGGGATCTATGCGGCAAATCCGTGGTACTGCAGCTTGGTCTGCAGATTAATGGCTAGAAAAATGGCCGAGAAGGAAGCGGCAAGACGCATGGCTAGAAGGCAGGCCCTTCGAGCATCACCCGGTCCCAGGACTCTGCCAGCTGGCGGCGAGTGGTTCAGCACTGAGGAGTACCTCCGCCTCACGAAGGCGGTGCTAGATGCGTCGAGACGAAGTCCGGTGGTAGTGTTTACCAAAGGGTAGGAGGCCAGCATACAACACACGACACACGCCACGACCGCAGAGCCTGCTTGTGCCACGTTGTGCTATAACAAAGGCAAAATCTTTACCCGAAGAGCACACTGGTTGTCAGCAGGGCGTACCGGCAGCCACGGCTCGTTTGCCTCCCTAACGTACGCGTGCGGACAAGACAGCAAACGAGCGATATGCGCTGCTGTTGCTGCTGCGTCCTGAAGGACGGCGCCAGTACTGCTGCGCATCGCACGCTACCTATAGATACGTAGGCGCGTGCATACGTGTACAGCCACCTATTTGTACGACTGGGCGGACGCATCTGCAATATCAGCTACCGTCCTCTCAAATGCTGCTGTACACGTCAGTCCCTCGTCGTTTTACGGAGCGTACCTCATGGACTGTCCGCCGTTACCCGGCTTCTTGTTCGCCTCATGTTCGCAGCCACTGCAGGTACTGCAAAGATGCAATCAAGCTTCTCCAGGATATCGGTGTCAAAAAAATTGTAAGCCTAATCTGATTCTACGCATTTTACAGCGGAGCTGCGGACGGCTAATCCCGGACTACATCACGGTATATTCGTAACATGCGCGATAATCCCCTGGCACGTCGGCTGCAGCAAGTCCCGCCGTCACCAAGGGCGTTGTAGAAAGATGCGGACCGACGCGGTTTGCACGACCATTTGACGCTCGCCATCGTACGGTTCCTCCAGCGCCGCAACCAAGACGCACAGCTATGTGTCGCTGATAGAGCCACGTCCAAAAGCAGGTGCAAATTTATGCTTGTCGACGTGGTGTGCTGTGCCCGCAGTATGTTGTGGACCTCGGCCGAGCGCCAGACATGCTGAAGCTCCAACTTGTGCTGGAGGAACTGACTGGCGCTAGGACCGTGCCGCGCATATACATCGGAGGCGTCTGCATAGGGGGTCTGTCGGATATGGTGAGCCGAAGTTACAAATGCAGGAAATGTCTCGCGTACTGGGCAGTCTTTGTGTGGCGTGCGTCCAAATACTTAGCATTGGTGGACGGGCACGTAACCAGAAAGAAAATCATAGGTACCTGTGCGAGGGTACAGCGAAGAAAACAAGAGCACAGTCCGAGTGGCAGGTGGTAAACTTCGGCGAAGCCGCCCACGGCAGCAAAGAGGAAACCAGGAAGCACAGAAACACGTTCGGTATAGAATGATAGACACTAAGGATGGTAAGGGGCAGCTTCCTCTATTCATGTGCTAAGGGCGTGTGCGCGTTGTGTTGCAGACCAGAGAGCACGAGAGCGGAGCCTTGAGGGAGCGCCTGCAAAGAGCCGCGGCCCTGTAGACCAGGAATGTGAAGAGCGTCATTTGTCCTGGAGCTATCCGTGCCCACACCTTCTGCCTAGGACTCTGCTCTACTCCCCTGCACCCACCAGGAAGTAGCACACGTATACGTTTC